GTGTCACAAAGTTGTTCAGTAAACTCTTGGAAACGTGTCTGCTTGGAAGGAATGAATCAGTATCCTCCTCAATGTGCTGAAAGTCAAGAAGGAATTAATCTTTCTACAAGTCTTTACATGGGCTCCCTTAGATACAGAAAATCCAGGCTTTTGTCTAGGATCAGATGACCACACTTGAAACTACTAAAAGAGATTAAGTAAAGAAACTCCTGATCATAGCTTGGCTACTCAGCTTGCATTCAAAGATGGGGACATCATTGAAATGTACAAACTAGAGATGTATTTAATCATTATGACCAGCATAGTCAGTAGAAAGGAAGATTAGCCCCATCTTCATACTAAACCAACACCTCATCTGTGTGTGTGAGATTGGTTCATTGCACACCAGGTAACAAACATGTCTTGCTGACAACGAATGGGAAAACAGCAATCTTGAGTCATAAGCAAGATTTTTCAGCAACCCAGAGCATGATGGAGAGTATGAGGTTGACTATGGGAGAAGACTTGCCCTCCCAGAATGTCCTCTTCATCCACTGGGCACCTTGGTTGGTACAGGGACACTACTACATGTCTACTCTCAACAGGTTTGGGGTTCAGCTGCAGGGTGTTTGTGTGTGCATTTCTCATTTTATCTTGCTTTATGTGCAGGCAGTGCAGAAGCAGCTCCTCTCCGGCTGGTGAACGGCCCTAGTCGTTGTGCTGGGAGAGTTGAGGTGCTTCACGGCCAGCAGTGGGGAACAGTGTGTGATGACAACTGGGACCTGAGCGATGCTGCGGTTGTGTGCCAGCAGCTGGGCTGCGGGACAGCCATGTCAGCCCCCGGATCTGCTTATTTTGGGCAAGGCTTTGGCCGTATCTGGCTGGATGATGTGAAATGCTCCAGCAGGGAATCAGCGCTCTCCGAATGTGCAGCAAGGCCTTGGGGAGTCCATAACTGCAACCATGAAGAAGATGCAGGCGTCGTCTGCTCTGGTAAGCTCCATGCATGCCCCACCATGCAGGGCATTTGTAGCAACTCAGCCTCTCATCTGGGTTTTGGGTTTGATGGCTCTTCATTCTTTCACAATCATAGAATCATAGAATCGTTTGAGTTGGGATGGATACTTAATGTTCACCTAGTCCAACTCCCCTGCAACAAACAGAACTGGTGAGCTAGATGAGGTTTCTCAGATTATGGTGCAACCTTCAAATGTCTCCAAGGATGGGGCATCCACCACCTCTCTGAGCTATCAGTGACTGTGCTTCTCTGCCTTCATCATAAAAAGCTGTTTTCTAATATCCAATCTAAATCTGCCCTGCAGTAGTTTGTTCATTCACATCTCTTTCTCAGAGATGTTGCCATGGGACGATGATGGAGACGTGAAGTTGGATCTTGGCATTTTGAGGGATGATTCCCATCTCTCCACATTGCTACTTATTTTTGCTTTTTGTGCTTTTGAACTATCACTATCGCTATCAGTTACATGCTTGTATTGCCCAAAGAATCTGTGAATGCCCCATCCCTGGGGATTACAGAATCACAGAACCACAGTATTATAGGGATTGAAAGGGTTCCCTAGTAATCACCAAGTCCAACCTCCCTTCAAAGCAGGATCCCTAAAGCAGTCTGCACATGTAGGTGTCCAGGTGGGAGATGTTGAAGGCCAGGTTGGATGGTGCACAGGGCAATCTGATCTGATGGGCAGCAACCCTGCCCATAGAAGAGGGCTGGAACTCAATGGGTCCCTTCCAGCACAAGCCAATCTATGATTCTATGATTCTATGATTCTATGATTCTATGATTCCACAGTCCTATTTCTCTATGATGGATTTGATGATCTTCATAGTCCCTTCCAACTCATGCCATCCTATGATTCTATGATCTTTCAGGGGCCTTCCAAGCCAAGCCATTCTGGGATTCTAAGATTTGATGATTCAGTGATTCTTTAACATAATTATATGCATACTACTAACTTTAAGTGGCCTTGCAGGGTAAAGCAAGCTAGTTTTACAGGTCTGGATTGTATGCATTTCTTTCCAGGTGGAATCTAAACATTGCAGATGCTCTAGAGTGGAGAAGAGAGATGACAGTGCTGGCAAACGTGTATGACATTTTTTCAACCCAAACAGAAGACATCTTTGAAGGACAGAATGCACCCAGTACAGAAGCCAATCACGACACTCAGATCTTTCTCACTGAATTGTAAGCACCAATCTGATGTGCCCAAATCAGGAGCACTGATGGTCCCCTTCAGCTAATGAAGAGATACGAGCTTTTGAACAGATGTCCCACGCGCATTTCAGTGTCCTTCCTTCCCTCCAGATCCTTCCCCAACTTCGTAGCCCACCCTTAGGCACACTCTAGTACTTTTATATCATAGAGCCCAAAACAGCACAAACACTATTTGAGGTAAGGCTGAACCTCTAAGATTGGGGCATTCACAACTTTTCTGGACAGTTTCATCACTCTCTGAGTAAAGAACTTCCTCCTAGAATTAAACCAAAATGTCCCTTGTTTTCCTTAACATTCATTCCCCTATGCCCTAGACAAAAAGACATCCATGTCCCTTCCAGTCTTAAACCTTCTGTAACTCTGCAGCAAAGAAGTGTGGTGGGAATTTATGGTGTCTCCTTTTTCTTCTGCAAATAAGCCTTGAGGAACCAGAACATTTGTCTAGCCCTGTGTTTTTCTTCCCATTTTTCTGCAAATTGTTCACAACAAGGTTGCATTACTTTCCATTGGCACCAGCTCAGGCCATGAATTCCTCTTCCTCCATTCTGCTTCCTTATACTCACTGCAGATTTTGTGGGCCCTCTCCACCACACTCCATGCACACTTTGTTTTTCTGCTCTTGAATTCATGCCCATGCTTTAGGGACCTCCTCAAGATAAGGCCTGGTGGCTACCATACAGACCTGGGATTGCAGATGGTCAAACCAGTCATGTTGGTGATCACAATTCCCATGCTCCAAAATTGGGATGTGCCGAGGAGGATCTGCTCAAGGGCTCTGAACTTCTCCATGGGGTCAGGATGTTGGAAGATGGAGACGAAGGAGAGCTCAGAGACTGAAAGCATGAGGGAGAAATGTAATAGGGGCTGGGGGTTTTGTTCATTTGGGATGGGGACATTTATCAGAGAGCAGCTTGGAGCCAAGCCACACTGAAGCAAGTTGTCACATCAGTCTTCCAAAATCGCAACAGATGAAACAAGCTGAGATGGGCAGCAGACAAGGTAGACACAGTTTGCTGATTTCTCACTGGAGTAGTGGGAAAAGTAGAGGAGACAATCCAACCCTCCATTAACTGGAGATACCCCAAGGAGCTTGATCCAGATGGGAATCCTCTAAGTCCCACATCATGTCCCACAGGATGTGCTGGTGGGTGGGAAATCCCAGGGCATCTCAGAATAAAAGGTCCTGGTGTAGGTTGAATGGAGGAGACAAACCTAGAAACTTCTGCAAAAATGAGATGGTTGGGTATGGAGATGTGGTCCAAAAGAAGAGGTCACCAGGAGAGGGAAGCAGCAAGCAACTAAATCAAAGTTAGATCCTCTCCTGGAAGACACAGAGACACAAAGAGGAACCTTTACCTGGTGTGCCCAAATTGTGTAGAGGAGGAGAAGAAAACTGTTGTCTCCTGAGGCAACAGGGCTATGGCTGGAGTTTCCTGGGTCTGCCCTGCTCTGCAATGAGCATCCAATCACACTCAGGACAGGCAGACAGGGTGAAGCAGGAGGTGTTGCCCAAACTGTGAAATGCACCCTGCACTGCTTCTGGTGGGCACAGAGTTAATTTCCTCCCCAGCAGCTGCTGTCATGCTAGTGTTTGGATTTATGATGAAAGCAATGAAATGAAAGCACTCAGATGCCCTTGTTGCAGAGCGGTGCTTGCACAGAGCCAAGGACTCTTCAACCTCTGATACTGCAGGAACTGGGTGGGACAGGTGACCCCAAATGGTTCAAGGAGGTATTCTATACTATGATGAGCTCAGCAATGAAGGATGAAGAAAAGAAGGAAGGGAAGAACATTTAAAATTACGGTGTTTGTCTTCTCCATTAACCATTATGCAGGATGGAAATAACTGAAAATCTGCCTGCTGATGAGAAGGAATGAACTAATTCCATATTGTGCTTTGCTTGCACATGCAGCTTTGGCTTTACCTGCTAACTTCTATTTCAGCTGGCGAGTTTTCTTGCCCATTCCTATTCATTTCTCTTCCCCATCCTTGCCAGATGTGGTGTTAGGGCAACAGACCTGTACAGGTCCTACGATGAAAAAGCAGGAGAACAAAGCAGCTGCAGCCACCCAAGGCAGGGGGGCTGGATTTCCAAGTCTGGTTTCTGACTACTTTCCCTGCAAGAAGTGAATGAGGAAACCAGTTCTTGTGTTTGCCTTCAAACAAAGAGTCAATGTTTGCACAGCTCTGATGAAGCTGCTCAGGTTACCATCAGCTGTCCTTGCAAATCTCCATCTATCACTGCCTCAGTATGAGAATTTTAGCATTATGTATATATATATGTATATATATATATATAAACTGGTATATATATATATATTTACAAACAGCTACTTGCACTCCTTTTTTTGAGAGGGTGGAGAGATCACTTGAATATTTTCCTTTTTCCTTCTCTATTCCCTTAAAAATTTAGGT